CATCATAGACCAGTACCAGAAAATGATTCCCCAAAACCTGGTTGCCTCTGCCAGGAGGGTGAAACTTGGCCGCAAGAAAATAACCACAAGCACATATCAAAATCCACAAAGAAATTGTTAATTGACCACAAAATCGATAGTTTGCAATGGCCATCTCAGTCCCCAGACGTGGACCCCATTGAAAACCTGTAGTTTTAATTGAAGAGAGCAGTCTATATGCACAGAGGATGGATATCAAGGATCTGGAAAGATTCTGTATGGAGGAATGGTCTAAGATCCCTCCCAATGCGTTCTCCAATCTCATAAAACATTTTAGAAAAAGGCTGTGTCGTTATCCTCACAAGGGGAGGGTGCTAGAGTATTGAAAACAGGGGTGCCAATAATTTGGACCCCTATCTTTTTATTACTTGTTAAACAAAATATGTTTCTAGGAACAATTTAATTAGTATAAAATAATATAATAATACAAAATGTTTTGCATAATATATAGCTCAGTATTTGTTTTATTTATTTTATAGTCTTTTTTGCTAATCTTTATCAAGGGTGTCAATAATTATGGACCCCATGACAGAAAAAAAAAAGCTGCTCCTAAAAATCTTTATCCATATCTATTGAAACTTGCAGCTGACTACATTGCAGAGCCCCTTACCTACCTCTTTTATCTCACCCTTGAGCTAAATGTCATCCCTAGTGTTTGAAAGTCAGCCTGTTAAAGACAGGTCAACCCTCTAACCTGAATAACTACAGGCCAATTTCTAAGCCATCGATTCTAGATAAGATCTTGGAGACCCTAGTGTCTAATCAATTAAATACGTTTTTATGTGTCAATTATATTTTATCGAAGTTTCAATTAGGTTTCAGAAAACAGCATGGTAGCTCATGGTTCAAGAGTTACCTGTCAGATATAACTAATTGTGTCCAGTTTGATGGCAAGGTGTCAAATAATAATAATAATAATAATAATAATAATAATAATAATATGCCATTTAGCAGACGCTTTTATCCAAAGCGACTTACAGTCAAATGCTAGTTTTCATTTTTATGCTGATGATACAGTCATTTATTGTTGTGCAGCAACTCTGATTAAGGTCTTTGAAGATCTGCAGTCTGCCTTTACCATTGTTTAGGGTCAGCTCTGTCAGCTGAAGTTGCTTTTAAAAGACAAAGTGGATGGTTTTCACATTTTACATTTCCATTTTACATTTTAGTCATTTAGCAGCACCTATCTGTGAGCGACTTACAGTTAGTGCATTCATCTTAAGATAACTAGGTGGGTCAACCACATATCACAGTCATAGTAATTATATTTTTCCTCAATAATGTAGCTATCAGCAAAGTCAGAGCTAGTAAGGGGGAAAATAGTCAAGTGTTAGTTCACAAAAGGCTGTTTATTTTTTATATTTTTTATGAAACCTCAGACTTTTCCATGTATAGTCACCTTGCAAGACAAACGGGTAGAAGGGGTATCAATTACAAGTACCTGGGTTTCTTAATAGATGATTGTCTCACCTTTAAACCCCACATAGACGGTCTTGTGAAAAAGCTTAGGCTCAAATTTGGTTTTTATTTTCGAAAAATACGTCATTATTTTCTTTTGAGGCGAGAAATATACTTTTTTCCACTACCTTCTTGCCTGTAATTGACTATGGCGATATCTTGTACATGTATGCCCCTGTGGCGTCGTTATGTATGCTGGACACTATGTACCATGAGGCACTGAGGTTTGTTATGAACTCCTCTGTAGCTCAGCTGGTAGAGCACGGCGCTTGTAACGCCAAGGTAGTGGGTTCGATCCCCGGGACCACCCATACACAAAAAAACCCTCACTCATCAATGTACCCTCTATATGAGAGTGGGCTGGCCTACCCTATCTCTTCAGAGACTAAGTCATTGGTACGTCTTCATTTATAAGGCTATACTGAGACAGCTCCCCTTTGACATGTGTTCTTACATTGTCCAGCAGAAAAATGACAACTATTGCCTACGGTCACATTACTGTATTTTGATTGCTGTGCCTAAGACGCTTACAGAGTTGGGTAAAAAAGCGTTCCAGTTTTCTGGCCCTTCCACGTGGAACGAGCTACAAAAGGACGTGAAATTGCAGGAGCTCATCTCTTTGAATGAATTTACATCTAGGGTAAAAACTATGGTGGACAATGAGGTGAGGGGCTGTCAATGTTTTGACCCCTAGATGCGCCGCACCTCCCCAAAGAACTCTTGCCTGCTCAATGTGTAAATTGATGTTTTAAACTGTAGTGCTTTGTATTTTATGTTGTAAATGTGTTTTGAAACTTTGTGTGCTGCTATTTTCGCCAGGTCTCTCTTGAAAATTAAATGTTTAATCTCAATGAGACTAACCTGGTAAAATAAAGTAAAAATAAATAAATACTTTGTAAGTCACACATCACCCCCTGCATTTTCTTGGCTGAGATTTTTTTTTAATTACCTTGTTTTTCTTAAGTTATTTTCATTAAGTACATTTGACTAGACTAAGGGCTGTATCTTCTTATTTATGTTTTAGATCATGTTGTAGCTAACATTGTGAGTAATTAGTTTATTACTATGGCTTATTCACCTTCTCTTTGCTAGCCTAACATGTATGTGTGTGTGTGTGTGTGTGTGTGTGTGTGTGTGTGTGTGTGTGTGTGTGCGTGTTTGGTTAGTGTGTGAGTGCGTGCGTGCGTGCGAACGCTTGCATTCATGCATGTATGTATGTGTGTGTTTATGGTTGTGTTTGTCAGTCTGTAAATACCTAGAGGAAATGGGGCACAGGATGGCTGGAACCCTATGTTGGGAAGGTGGTTTGGGAGAGGTGGGGTATGGTTCTATGAAAAAGATCTTTATAGACTAGCTATTATAGGAAATAGGCCTACTATTTCTTAAAAAGAAAAAGCTCCTTCTCTTCTGAGTAAAAATGATACGCTTTATTCTTCCCCTATCTTTATGATCTATCAACTCTTTATCAACTCTGCATCATTTTGTCCTTCCCTAAATGCAGTTCTGTGAAATTATACTGAACAAAAATATAAACGCAACATGCAACAATTTCAAAGATTTTACTGCATTACAGTTCATATAAGGAAATAAGTCAATTGAAATCAATTAATTAGGCCCTAGTCTATGGATTTGACATGACTGGGAATACAGATATGCATGTGTTGGTCACAGATACCTTAAAAAAAAAAAGTAGGGCCGTGGATCAGAAAACCAGTCAATATCTGGTGTGACCACCATTTGCCTCATGCAGCGTGACATCTCCTTCGCATACAGTTGATCAGGCTGATGATTGTGGCCTGTGGAATGTTGTCCCACTCATCTTCAATGGCTGAGCAAAGTTGCTGGATATTGGCGGGAAATAGAACACACTGTTGAACACGTCGATCCAGACCATCCCAAACATGCTCAATGGGTGACATGTCTAGTGAGTATGCAGGCCATGGAAGAACTGGGACATTTTCAGCTTCCAGGAACAGCGTACAGATCATTGCGACATGGGGCCATGCATTATCATGCTGAAACATGAGGTGTTGGCAGCGGATGAATGGCACGACAATGGGCCTCAGGATTTTGTCACGATATCTCTGCGCATTCAAATTGCCATCAATAAAAGGCAATTGTGTTTGTTGTCCGTAGCTTATGCCTGCCCATACCATAACCCCACCGCAACCATGGGGCACTCTGTTCACAATGTTGACATCAGCAAACCACTTGCCAACATGGTTGTGAGGACGGTTGGATGTGGAGGCGGCTTATGGTAGAGAAATGAATATTCAATTCTCTGGCAACAGCTCTGGTGGACATGCTGCAGTCAGATGCAAAATGGACCCAAAACTATCATTGTTGCATTGTGTTGTCAGTGACAATACTTTGCTAATTTTAATACTGGCCTTGGATGTGCCCTGCACAAGGTAGAACAGTTGGATGAAATGAATCTAACTGTTGAAACACGCTTCTTATGCAAACGTCAAAGTGTGATTAGATCTGCAAGGAGAATGGCATTTCCAACTAAAGATGTACAATAATCCAATAATATAAAGACCATGGGTGTGCAGGCGAGTGATGGCGACAATGGCAGACTACATATCTCTGTGCATTCATTCTAAAGGCTTAGGTGTTTTTGTGGGTTAGCCGTGAGTTAGCAAACCCTACCTCTAAGGCACTCTCCAATGAGCCGAGGAACAATTCAAATTTTTGCAACGAGTTGTGGTATGAGGCCTCATTAGTGCACTTTCAAATTCCGCAAAGCTGTTTATTTCTCATGAAACATGGGACACTTTTTGTTCAGTGTAGTTTCAGTGCAATACTGTGTAGGCCTAATGTGTTCAATACGGCTTGGCTGTCTGGAAAGAAAACAGTTGGATGAAAAAATTATATCCTAAATGTGACACACCAACCGCCTTTTATGCATAACAAATGTATATCTAGACATCGCTACAGGGATATAGGCTATTAGTTTCCAAATAAAAATGACAAAAATGCCAATAAGAGAAGAGACACTGAGGTATGGTAGTCCTTGTGCACGTGCGAAAGTGAGGGGACAAGGTAGGCAAGCACTAAACATTTATCTCTTATTTTCTACTTCTTGAAAGGCTGTAGGTGTTTTTCTTGTGGGTTATGCATGTTGAGTTAGTCGAAGATCCTCTCCGAGACCTCTCAATGCGCCCGAGGGAAGCAACAACATATTTTCAACGAGTCCTCGCTGCGTTTATGTTACCTCCATCCAGTCACTTTCAACCACCAAAGAACATGTTTTATTGTCATATAAATGTGTTGTTTTACAGGGTCAGTCATAGTAGTACGGTGCCCGTGGAGCAAATTACGGTTAAGTGCATTGCTCAAGGGCACATCGACAGATGTTGTCACGTGGTGTATTCGAACCAGGGAACCTTTCGGTTAATAGCCCAAAGCATTAACTGCTAGGCTACCTGCCGCCCACTGACGTGAAAAACAGGTGTTAAGAGCAATTTAGCATTCGCTCCACCAGGTGCTTCGTGTAAGGCAGACTTCCGCTCCACTGAGGGATTTAAGACAAAACGGACCTTGAACGCTGGTATTTACAGGCTATGACTCCCAGGTAAACAGTCCGTCTGTTTCAATATCTTGAGTGTTCTCCGTTTGATTTTGTTTCAAACTAATACATTACCCCACTGCTGCAAAGTGGAGCGAGATGCGTGGGCCATATAAAAGTAAGGAGAACTCGGGCAGTGAATGCATCCATACTTTTGAGGGGAAACGGGACATTGGAAACGGGCTGTTTAGGAGTTACGACTCACCTATGCCAGGAGAACCTGCCAGCTACTCGGAGGGGCCAAATTCCCCTACTGGAGGTATCCTGACAAGTTTGGACGACGGCCATGAGAATGGGCCTTCGACACTGGACTATTCTTTGACAGGTCAGCACAATTTAGTGACTGTCTTCCTTGTATAATCAAATGTCATTATCTAACCAAATATGATAATTTAAGAAGTTGACGTCCATAAATGTTTTATCACAACCTTACTGAAAGTGAGAATGACCACTTCAGTGCGTCAATTTGTGTTGAGTAGTCTACATTTAGACTAAAGGTGCAATACATAAGCTTTCTAGTAACACTTTACACCAACCTGGTCTCAGAGAATTTCGTATTATTCTGTACGAAACCCAAGACGGTCCATTTAGTATGGTATGTATAATTTGTGGATGTCCATCATCAATTTCGTATGATATGTTACGAATTACAATTCGTATTATATGTTAGCAACTTTGCGCAAAACATACAAAATATTAAGAATTTCCAAACCGTACAATACATTAAGAATTTGCAAGATATATGATATGTTATGAATTCCAATTTGTTGTGGCTAACTTTAGCTAGGTGGCTAGGTGTCTAATGCTAACGTTAGCTAGCTGGCTAACGTTAGCTAGGCTAGGGGTTAGGGTTAAGGTTAGGATTAAGGTTAGGAGTTAGGTTAAAGGGTTAAGGTTAGGGTTAGCTAAAATGTTTAAGGTTAGGGAAGGGCTAGCTAACATGCTAAGTAGTTGCAAAGTATCTAAAAAAAGTATTTTAAAAGTTGCTATTTAGCTAAAATGCAAAAGTCTTTGGGTTGCTAGACGTTTGCGTTATACCCCCACCCATTCACCCTCCTTTCATTTTTGCGTCAAGTAACCAACTGTCTTATGTAACCATACCATACCAAACATAACATAGCATAATCATTTGAGTGTCCCGGAAACAAGTTTACTATGTTTCGTCTAGTCTGAGACCAGGCTGCACATCCAGGTATAATGCTTTATAACTTGTTATAAGCATGTATGAGCCTTTATATTGTCTTACAACAAGCAAGGCTCATACTGTTGATTGTTCATATACTGTACTGTGCAATCTATATGGTTCATACAGTACATGTGGTTAATATTTTTAAATTACATTAAGTCATATTTTAGGCCTTACTATTTGGAATGAGTGATACATTTTAGGATAATCTGATCATCAGTTATCACATTTCTTTTTAGGCTATCTGTCTGAATTCACAAATAAATTGCATTCTGTTGCAACATGGTTTTATTCATCAGGTCCAAAACGCTCCAACTATGACGGTGAGAAAAGGTACCTGGGAGTCAGGGTCAAAATGCCTGTGAGAGACATGCTTAATAACATTCGCATAGCGAAAGGAATGGACCCAAAAAATATCCAGGTATGACATACTGTATATTCACTGTGGCTAAATTGCTTGGAAGATAATTTCCACATTCCCCAGTCCGATGTTTTGACATATTCACAATTGATCCTTTACGTCTTTCTACAGGGAAACAGCGGCAAGGCATTGAAAGGTTAGAAAAAAACTCCTCAAAATTCTATTACGCTTATGTTGTTGGCCTATAACCAAGATTGAACACTTCTGGCAGTCTCGTCAAAAGTGTGTCTTGTTCTGCTCCAGAATTAGGGTTGTTTACCTTTTGCAAACAGAGTCATTTTATTTATAATTTTTTTATTTCACCTATATTTAACCAGGTAAGCCAGTTGAGAACAAGTTCTCATTTACAACTGCGACCTGGCCAAGATAAAGCAAAGCAGTGCGATAAAAACAGCAACAACACCGAGTTACATATGGAATAAACAAAACGTACAGTCAATAACACAATAGAAAATCTATATACAATGTGTGCAAATGTAGTAAGTTATGGAGGTAAGGCAATAAATAGGCCATAGTGCAAAATAATTACAATTTAGTATTAACACTGGAGTGATAGATGTGCAGAAGATGATGTGCAAATAGAGATACTGGGGTGCAAATAAGCAAAATAAATAACAATATGGGGATGAGGTAGTTGGGTGGGCTAATTACAGATGGGCTGTGTACAGGTGCAGTGATCAGTAAGCTGCTCTGACAACTGATGCTTAAAGTTAGTGAGGGAGATAAGAGTCATAAAGTGTTTGGCAATGGGTGAGGCTGATCACACGCTGTTCACACTCATAAAATGTAGTCAAGACTTTACTTAAAGCCTATGGATATAATGCAGAATAATGTACACATAAAGTATTAGTAAGACATATGCATATTTTACATCTTAGTATTGTTTGATAATAATACAGTATATCACAGCCATTTTGAAAAGGAGACTTGTAGGGTACAGATAACTAACAATACAAGTTCAAACGTGTTATTGAATTTCATCATTACATTATGAACATAAATAACACTGAAAACTGTCACAACAACAATTATGTGTTATTACACAAGCATTTATGTTGTGGGTAAGGGCATGCAACAGCAAAGATACTGTCAACTTCATGAAACCTGCTATCAAAATTCCTTATTATATTCTTCACAGGAGAGAAGAAACGGGTAAATAGAGATCGCAGAAGTAGCAAGGTGAGTGATTTACAGGACAGTCAATTAATAGGCCTACATGTCTTTTCATAATTTCACCAGGTGTGCCTTGCTCTAACTTGGACGGCTCAGCACTCAACACTGCATACTTAATATGTGTGCCCACTGTGTTTCAGAGAAAACAACCTACAAAGAGCCTGGAGGAACTCGCCATAATAGTAGAGGTATTGGAGGAGGATCTCAAAGCCAGCAAGCCATACAGCCAGTCTAACAAGTCTGAGTCACCCGATTACAGCCCAGAGCCCAACGAGCAACCATGGAATATTCCAGAGCCACTCCAACATAGCCACTCAATGAAGTTCAGTCAGGAAAACAAGATGCCACAACAAGCCACAAACTACTGTATGTCAGAGCTCAACCTATCCCGCTCTGCAGACAAACACAACACTAGTGCCCCTCCACTGAACTCCCAAAGAGGGTATATCAACGACGAATCTGACAATATGATGCCCAGTCCAGATTCATATATGTCTTACTCCCCAAGCAGCACCAGTGAATGTCAAGTGCCATCTCCCCAAGATTCGGTCTTTGCTAGCCCCCTGTCCTCCAGCTATGAGTTAGGTCAGGATGGAGGTAGTGACTGCCAGGATAGCTTTAGCCCCCAGTGTCAGGATAGCTTTAGCCCCCAGTGCCAGGATAGCTTTAGCCCCCAGTGCCAGGATAGCTTTAGCCCCCAGTGCCAGGGTAGCTTTAGCCCCCAGTGCCAGGATAGCTTTAGCCCCCAGTGCCATAATAGCTTTAGCCCCCAGTGCCAGGATAGCTTTAGCCAACATTGGCTCAGCTACATGGGCCAGGATTGGAACAGCGTAGCATACTTCTGGACCCAGCTCCAGAGGGAGGAGAGCTTACTGACGGGGGTCTCTGACACAGAGCTTCTGGCCACAGACAAGAACGGAAGGACGTAAGTTGGAATCACAATTTGTATATTACCCTTTTCATATTACTGAGCCTTGCTGAGCTGTAGCCTGGTCTTGTTAGGCATCCACCAGAGGTTGGAACAGTGGTGGAAACTAGCACTGTGCGGTTCGGGTCGACAATAGTGTGAAAAGGTTACATCGTAGTTATACCAACTGTTGATTTTAAATTGTATACCCCGGTAGGCTATATCAGTATAATAGCTGGAATGTTTATGGATGTTCAGAGAGAAATATGAGATGATATCACTCAGTTTGTCATTAAAGGCACTGTACAGAGACTGTATGTCACAATATGGTGAATGGATGTTTTGTAGTAATTTAATGAAATATTTGTTGTCCTAGGATAAACAATAACCTGTTACAGACATTTGTTTTCCTACAATAATTCACAAACAACAAATGATGCCAAGACATACTGAGGGTATCTAATAGGCAGCAGTTAGGTGTTAGTGTTGTTACATTCCCCAGCAAGAAAAGCAAAAATTGTCGCTCAAACAGAAGGGGGAACTAACAAAGAGTCACTGACAACAACTAAAACGAAATAGGTGGGGTGTTAGGAGGGGTTCTGAAAGACATTCATAGGGGTGTCCAATGAAAGTTGACTAGCAACAACAACTGGGACCTAAAAGACACCCACCATGAGAGCCCATTACACTTGCCAAAGAAGAGGCAAACACATTTTTTAAAAAACAGACCAAACTGAAAGACAGGAAGTAAACCAAAAAGTGGAGTAAAATGGAAACAGGGAATATCAGATAAAGGATTGTTTGTCTATAAATAAAATAGGGAGAGACAACTAAATGTGTTAACCCTCCACATCTCTCAAGACAACTGGAGTACTGATCCAGCCACTCTTAAATATCACCTGGGGCAGCACAGGTGAAACACCTTCCGACTAACGAGATGAACAAGCCAGCACAGGTGTAACACATATTGACTAAGGAGGTGACACCAATCGATGTGCCCCACGTGCTAACGTCCAACCTCGAAATATAAATGGAAAAACCAAAGCCTGTAACAGTGTTCTGAAGAAATGTCCTCATACAGTACTACATTTTTACATTTACATTTTAGTCATTTAGCAGACGCTCTTATCCAGAGCGACTTACAGTTAGTGAGTGAATACATTTTTCATACTGCATACTACATACTCATGACTCATGGGGCGTTGACAGGAATTACACAAAAAGTAAACAATGACTGAAAATCCATGACCCATATTGATATAGGAGGACAATAGACAAATAATTGAATGGTTGATTTTAGTGACAAAGACAGGAAGATATATCTATCTATCTAACATTAATGTTGCAGTGACATTTCATGTTCTTGATATAATTGATAGTGAAAAAAAATGATTATTACTTTCAAGCAACCACTGATTAGAATCAGGCTCACATTAATTATCATTGGCCAGCCACAGTACAAAACAAAATTCCCACATTGTTGATGTAGGATTGCAATGTATCATCTAGTACATTAATGTCAAACTGCACTTTAATGCATTCATGTTGTTAACCATTAAAACTCACAGTGACATTTATGTGAGTACACTATAAATATGTTTATTGCTTCTTTCTTTAGAGCTCTCCACAGAGTTGTGGGTCAAGGCAAGAGGGCCCTGGGATATGTGATTGCCAAAAGGATGGCAGCTCTGAACAGACTGGATGTCAAAGACTCAGAGGGAAAGGTAAATCAAACGAAAAATATAGTATGACTGAAATTGTTTTCTGGTTGTTCAAATTCATTCAGACGTTCAGATAACTTTGAAGCAACTGTATACTAGTGCTGAGCTATTAGTGCTTTTTGAGGTCGGTTCGGTTTTGGTTCGATTATAAAAAAATAATCACGGTTATCGATTTCAATTACTTTTTTAGTTTAGACATTAAATGCACTAGGCATTATGTGGGTTGAGTGCTGTAACACATAATAAAATAATTAATAAAAGTCCCATGATGGTAGTGACTGCCCATTACTGCTTATCACTTATTAACCATCATTTATTCACATTACTTTAATAAAATATGTGTTTTATTTAATGACTTTATTATTTCAATCCAAGTCATCATCTCATCTCTATAGAGCTGCTGCCTATGCTGTCTGACAAAATCACTATTTAGTAGTTCTTGAAAGTAAATAAGGCATACTTTTATGACGGCTGAATACCAACTATCAATCACTTAGATCATGTATTTTCAGATAGAGATACAGTGCATTCGGAAAGTATTCAGACCCCTTTACTTTTTCCATATTTTGTTACGTTACAGCCATATACTAAAATATATATTTTTTAAAAATCCTCATCAATCTACACACTATACCCCATAATGACAAAGCAAAAACAGTTTTTTTTTTTAAATTTTTCAAAACGGAAATATCACATTTACATAAGTATTCAGACCCTTTACTCAGTACTTTGTTGAAGCACCTTTGGCAGCGATTACAGCCTCGAGTCTTCTTGGGTATGACGCTACAAGCTTGGCACACCTGTATTTGGGGAGTTTCGCCCATTCTTCTCTGCAGGTCCTCTCAAGCTCTGTCAGGTTGGATGGGGAGCGTCACTGCACAGCTATTTTCAGGTCTCTCCAGAGATGTTCGATCGGGTTCAAGTCCGGGCTCTGGCTGGGCCACTCAAGGAGCACGAAAAGAGCTTCTGGATATCAGAACAGCGATTACTCACCTCGAACTGGACAAAGATTTTTTCTTTAATGAGTAGGACGCGAAGGATATAATGTTGCTCCCAGACAAGGCCCAAATCCCTGTCATTCGCATGAAGAAAATAAGGAAGTACAGGGGGCGGAGAGCAGGGTGCCTTGTGAGAATTTGTCAGCGAGTGGGTAACCTGCCTCTACCATCTGTTCTATTAGCCAACGTGCAATCACTGGAGAATAAACTGGATGAGCTCAGTTCGAGACTATCCTACCAACGGGACATTAAAAACTGTAATATCTTGTGTTTAACCGAGTCGTGGCTGAACGACGAAAAGGATAATATACAGTTGGCAGGGTTTTCCATGCATCGGCAGGACAGAACAGCTACGTCCGGTAAGACGACGGGTGGGGGTGTGTGTCTACTTGTCAATAACAGCTGGTGCGCAATGTCTAATATTAAGGTAGTCTCGAGGTATTGCTCGCCTGAGGTAGAGTACCTTATTTTGGTAGAGTACCTCCATTTGTTTTTACACTGCTGCTACTCGCTGTCTATTATCTATGCACAGTCAATTTACCCCTACCTACATTATCTCGACTAACCTGTACCCCGGCACATTGACTCGTTACCGGTACCCCCTGTATATAGCCTCGTTATTGTTATTTTTATTGTGTTACTTTTGATTATTTTTAAATTTAGTTTATTTTGTAAATATTTTCGTAACTCTTTCTTGAACTGCATTGTTGGTTAAGGGCTTGTAAGTAAGCATTTCACGGTAAGGTCTACACCTGTTGTATTTTGCGCATGTGACAAATAAAATTTGATTTGATTTGAACCACACTATCTACCAAGAGAGTTTTCATCTATATTTTTCGTAGCCGTCTATTTACCACCACAAACCGACACTGGCACTAAGACCGCACTCAACAAGCTGTATAAGGTTAAAAACAAACAAGAAAATGCTAATCCAGAAGCGGCGCTCCTAATGGCCGGGGATTTAATGCAGGCAAACTTAAATCTGTTTGACCTCATTTCTACCAGCATATCACATGTGCAACCAGAGGAAAAAAAACTCTAGGCCAACTTTACTCCACACACTGTGTCACGCTCGTTGAATGACGGGTCAGACCAAGGCGCAGCGTGATATACGTACATGTTTATTAAACTTAATAAACACACGACAAAACAACAAAGGAAACGAAACGTGAAGTCCAAGGTAGCACACACAACATACCTTAACCGGAACAAGATCCCACAACAAGACAGTGCCAATAGGCTGCCTAAGTATGGTCCCCAATCAGAGACAACGAGCGACAGCTGCCTCTGATTGGGAACCACACCGGCCAACATAGAACTATACATACTAGATCACAAACATAGAAAACGCACAACAAAGAATATACACACCCTGACTCAACATTTAAGCGTCCCCTGAGTCAGGGCGTGACACACTGAGACACATACAAAGCTCTCCCTCGCCCTCCATTTGGAAAATTTGACCATAATTATATCCTCCTGATTCCTGCTTACAAGCAAAAACTAGCAGGAAGTACCAGTGACTCGCTCAATTCGAAAGTGGTCTGATGACGCGGATGCTACGCTACAGGACTGTTTTGCTAGCACAGACTGGAATATGTTCTGGGATTCATCCAATGGCATTGAAGAGTATACCACCTCAGTCACCGGCTTCATCAATAAGTGCATCAACAACGTCATCTCCACAGTGACTGTACGTATATATCCCAACCAGAAGCCATGGATTACTAAAGGCTAGAGCTGCCGCTTTCAAGGAGCGGGACACTAATCCGGAAGTTTATAAGAAATCCCGCTATGCCCTCAGACGAACCATCAAACAGGCAAAGCGTCAATACAGGACTAAGATTGAATCCTACTACACTGGCTCTGACGCTCGTCGGATGTGGCAGGGCTTGCAAAATATTACGGACTACAAAGGTAAACCCATCCGCGAGCTGCCCAGTGACGCAAGCCTACCAGACAGCTAAATGCCTTTTATGCTCGATTCGAGGCAAGCAACACTGAAGCATGCATGAGAGCACCAGCTCTTCCGGACGACAGTGTGATCACGTTCTCCGTAGCCGATGTGAGCAAGACCTTTAAACAGGTCAACATTCACAAGGCCGCAGGGCCAGACGGATTACCAGGACGTGTACTCAGAGCATGCGCGGACCAACTGGCAAGTGTCTTCACTGACATTTTCAACCCATTCCTGACAGAGTCTGTAATACCTACATGTTTCAAGCAGACCACCATAGTCCCTGTGCCCAAGAAAGCGAAGGTAACCTGCCTAAATGACTACCGCCCCGTAGCACTCACATGGA